CTTCCTCCTCCACGACAGACATCTCGCATCGCCCCCCATTGCTCTACAGCCATTCTAAGCTTCTGTGCCGCCAGCACCGGCACAACAATCCTCTCTCGCGTCCTCGCCGCCGGCCAGGACGCCACCGGGGTACGTCCGGTAACTCTCGAGCTACCCCTTGCACAGCTACTCAATGATCTTGTCGAGCATATGTGGACCCACAATGAAAACAACTAAGGCTTGAGTTATGTACTTAAATTTTATGTAAGAACCATGTATTTTCGATACCAACATTTGTTCTTTACGTGCGACATTGGCGTGTATCATGAACATGCATGGATTTGAGAGTCCGGGTTTGAGATATGTGGATGTCAGGCACGAGATATGAGGGGCCATCTGGATGTGTCCACGGGCGTGCCTGAGTGTGTCCGCAGACGTGCGGATTTACCAAGTCCGGTTGTAGATGCTCTAAGGCCCGCACACTAAGCCATTCCACATACCGCACCATCACGTCCTCACCGGCCACTAGCCCATTGCCGCACCACGCACCCCTCCCAAGAGCCCCGGGAGGGTACCCCAGCACTTGTTGGGCCGCCACATGCTCTTCATTCGCTAGCCCCTCATGCCGTCAAGATCCGACTAGGCTGCTGGTGAGTATATTGGCAATTTTTTGATTAATTTAATCAACAAATAAATCATGAGCATGCATTGACAGAATTGATTACATACTGATTACGATCTAGGTAAGCATATAGTATGCATATAGTAGAGACATCTACGCACATAACTAGTACTGCTAAGAAAGAAATAACGAGGAGGTGGATAAACGAGTCATATCCTCCAGTAGGCCAAGCCGAAGCCGCGACAATGACATCGGTGTCCTCTGCGGCCTTCTTCTCGGCTTCAAGTTTCTCGGCGGCGAGTTGGTCAGCTTCGGATTGCTGACTCATGATGACAGCGAAGGCAACGTGGATGAATGGCAGCAAGCAGTCGCTCCCCAAAAACCTAATCGTCCCTCTCCCGTACAGGATCTCGAGAGACAGGGTTTTGGAGGCCTGCTCTCCCTTCAACCATGTACGCGGTGGACGGGATGGGATCGTTGCTGGCAGCAACAGCAAAAAGAATGATAGTGGAAGGGATGCACGTGGAGGCAGAGCAGATGCGATCTGTTCATCTGGGGACGTCTAGGTTTGCTGACACCTACACTATATAGGTGCATGCAAGTAGGAGGACGTGGGCTGGACCTGCATCTGAGTCTGTGACAGCCCACAATCTGATGTCTCGAATTCGCGGCGCGTTTGTTACGGGCTCTCCGTTTCTGAACGGCAAAAATTAAGCGCATAGGTATGTGAGCTCGGCTCGGCTCGGCTCATTCCGGCTGCGCACACGTCGTGGCGAGGCGCGTGGCGGGGGAGAAGCACGCGGGAACCATTTCTCTTATCAAGCTCCAATAGCATGTGAAAGAGAATCCTTTATAACGAGGTTCAACTCTTCCTCCACTAATGGGCTGGGACTAAACTTCCCACAACATTCCTTGTCACGACACCTATATGGGCCCATAGAGATTTTTCTGAAATTGTTAGGTGAGCACAAGGCCGACCCTGTATTTCAACAAGTGCATCTTCTATTGCGGACGGGTGAGGGGAAGGAGCGGCCGAGCGCCTCCCTCGGCTTGAAGAATGCCAACGTCGGCCGCCGGAGTTGTGAGCTTGCCGGTCGGAGATGAGACGAGCAGTGGGAGAATCGGTCGGTGGAGAAATGAGAAGGCCGTCGAGACGTTCGCGCAAGCGACTGGGTAGAGCGAACACGTTCCAAATGCTGGCGAGGACAACCATCACAAGTGAAGATCAATGCATCTCATCCAACGGTCCAGACCGCGTTCACTTTGAATTGTTGTAAAACTGACATCCAATTTGTATCATTTGGTTATCTTTAAAACAACGACGACCCCGGTAGATACATGTACTGTACGGGACCGTGCACGGTGCATATCTGCATCCCCTCTTCACGTATGAGCTAGAAGAAGAGTTGATGAGATGTTGAGAAGATGACGATGACGATGAGTTGCCGCATTTTCAAACCAGGAGGAGATTCATGTTTCTTTCTATATCTAGTCTGTACCGCTCTTAATGCACCATATATCTACGATAAAACAGCCCATCTGCCTAATTTTCTTCTCCACGTTTATAACTGGCATATATATGTGCCTTATTCAGGGTGAAGAAGGAATGTGTATAGGGATATCCATTACTACATGCCAAGGCCCCACACGGCCGTATATGGCAGTTATAAACATCGAGAGAAAATCGAAGTCGATGGGCTGTTTCAGCGTAGATATACAGTCGCATTACCACAAATATAGCCTAAATAGGAAACAAACATGCAGCCTTTACTGGTTTGGAAATGTGACAACTCATCGGTTGTCACCATCTCATCATGTCATCAATGCTCCTAGCTCATCCGTGAAGCAGAGATGAGGATCGGATATGCACCCCCGTGATGAATTGGCACGGCCAAATCCTCATCTCAACTCTTCTCGTCGCCTATAAAACAGACGCCTCAGAGCTGTAGCAAGGCAGATCACAGACCTCAAAGTTCTCAGCTGTCCTCCTCCAAATAATCAACGGATTTGCTATTTTACAGCTGACTGTTTTTCAATTCGTTTATGTTCAAGTTGTTGTCCGTCCGTTCTTGCACGAAGATTCGCGCTGGTTATTCTTGTCGGGTCCGGGTTTTTCTGTCTTGTGCGGTTTTTTTTGTGCCCGTTACCACCATGCCCGGCCGGTCTGATTTTTGTTCTGTTTGAATTTTGGGCTGTGTGCCTTCCCCGTTACCTCCTCTTTCATTTTGTCCTCTTTGTTTCGATAAGGCAGAGGCGGAGCTCGAGCGGCAGAGCAGGAGGCGATTTCTCCCCGTCCATGGCGATTTGGCGACCTTCCCC